GGCCGTGTGCACACGACAATGTCCAACCATCTCTGGGTCCCTGGTTGTTAGGACCAGCAACTTGGCGTGGTGGCTGAAGATCCTGCTGGCGGTGGTCACCTGGGCGATGATGTAGGGCCAGGTGGGTTAGTTTCCTACGTCAACGGTGAGGGCAAGATAGAAGGTACGAAGGGATAAGGGTGAACCGTTCAAGGAGAGTTACCAGTCAAGCGACGTGTGCGCTGCATTGTATCCGTGCGATCCGTGCGACGCACACGCATATGTCAAATAGCGTGTGTAGTGCCGGGTCCATCATTGTTACCTGCGGCAGGTTACGCTGGACACTCAGACCATACACAGAGAAAATGATTTCATTGTAGACATCTACGTACCGGGGATGTTTTCACTCACTGGCGATGTGGCTGCCAGGGGTCGGAGATGTTATGTTAACAGGCGCCATGGTATCCTCCTCATCAGGTGACGGCGCAGGTGGCGGCGCGTTCTCTGCACATCAGGGATTGCAGTGACATGAGAGACCGCCATATATATGGTCATCGCATAATGTTGAAGCACTCACGAGCCGGATGTGCCGGTGGCGCATGGTCAGAGGGTACCGGGTAAGGCCTTGAGACCGGGTTATGCGGGTCACGGGCGACGGTAGGGAGTGGTTGACCTGTCCTCTCGGGATGGATCGCCCCGGCATGATGATCTGCAGTGACACGATCGTTGTTGCCAGTTGGCGCATGATCATCGTGATCAGTGTTCAGTACGTTGTTCCATGCATTATGAGAGTCCTCTTGAGTCTCATCGCCTTCCGCGTCAGCGTGATGTTGTGCATCGGGTCTAGGATCTACTGGGGGCATATCTTCGCCGCTTTCCTCCTGTTCCCGGCCTTCCATCATCAGACTCTCGTGGCTCTTTTCGGGCGATGCCTCACGAGCCCGCGGAGCATATCGGATGCACGAGGGTGGCAAGTCCGCGGCGTCGCGCGCATCAGGATACTCGGAGTCCGGAACAATCTCTATTGGTCCGCGACGTCGCCCAATCCGTCCTGCGCTGTATAGGGCGTTCGTAGCTTGCGACCTAAGACGCTCCGCCATTGGCGGACTGGATGTCAGGCGTTCCAACAGAAGGGTGGCGGAGGGTGTGCGTGAGCTAGGGTTTCGACTAATTGCTAGACACATAACAGCACCTTCTGGTTCGATCTGGGCCATTATTCCCGTTTCTCTAGATACTGTTGCATAATGAAAGAAGGACATGGTTTCACCATGTAGTAAGCAGGTTGTATCTGAGTGATACATGTCAAGAAAAAGCCACATGCACCAAACTAAAGAGTTAATTATAAAACTGACATGCTAAACCCTTTACTTATTTGATATCGTGTTAGCACAACACAAGATTCACAAATACATCAACACTACAACACTGCTCCTCATTCAACTGATCACCACTTTACCTTTACGCCGTAGGTGATCCTTGTAGAAGGCACTCCAGTCAAACAAGTCCTGGAAAATCTCCTTCCGCCAGTCTGCCGATTTGCCAAACAGTTTGATTTCCTCAATGCACTCAAAATTCGACTCAACTAAGGCCTTCATATATTTCATGACGTACACACCACAGTCGTGATAGTTGCGTTGAAGAGTCACCTGCAATGCGTGAAAAGGAGGATGCGTATGAGGGTGGGAGAAACGGTGACGCTATACGTCGGGGATTAGATACGATCATGTAGTCAAAAGGCCTGTGGTACCTTGGGCTTCACGTACTCCACTCTTGCTATCCAATCGTCGATCAGTGACTCGTCCGCGTCGGGGTAGAGTGAAGTGACTTGCTCCCGTAAGAATCTGCGACGATAGCGCAACACAGGAGCTTGTAGCTTACCCGTATATTTGGTGATACGAATCTGCATGCACCCATATGATCCATTTGATTTACCTGGCCACATGACGTTCAAACCCCTTGTGCATTTTCTTGGAGTCGGCATGTAGAAATCTGGTTGGCTTGGGAAGGGCACCTTCCTTAGGTGCGTTATCGTTGTCTAGAATCAGCAGGCTCCAGTGATCGCTGGAGCGAAACAGACTAAACCCGGTGTTATCAAACGGCGACGGACGGACGGGCGTAGGGGGGGGGGGGGGGGGGGGGGGGTGGTGTCAGAACATATAGCTTACTTGTTTCTGTAGGCTATAGTGGGGTATCCCATAGGGGGTACAACCCAATTAGGGTTTGCTATTTGTACTCACTTTGTTCATAGTCATTCCATTCTCGTTCATATTTTCTCATGGAATCAGAGCAGGTCCCTTCCTAGGGACTGTTCCTAGGGCCCACCGAAGCGCGCCCCGAGGCGCGCGTTTTTTTTTAGCGACCCTCCGTGTCGCCCTTACCGCCGTGCTCCCGCTTAGGCCCCTCGTCGGCCCCGCTTAGGCCCCTCGTCGGCCCCGCTTAGGCCTCTCGTCGGCCCCACTTAGGCCCCTCGTCGGCCCCACTTAGGCCCCTAATCGGCCCCACTTAGGCCTCGTCGGCCCCGCGTAGGCCCCGTCGGCCCCGCTACGACCTCGAGTCGGCCCCGCTAAGGCCCAGTCGGCCCCGCTTAGGCCCCGCTACGGCCCCTCGTTGGCCCCGCTTAGGCCCTGTCGGCCCCACTTAGGCCTCGTCGGCCCCGCTTAGGCCTCGCTACGGCCCCGCGTCGGCCCCGTTTAGGCCTCGTCGGCCCCGCTTAGGTCCCGCTACGGCCCCGCGTCGGCCCCGCTTAGGCCCCGTCGGCCCGCCTAGGCCCCGCTACGGCCCCTCGTCGGCCCCGCCTAGACCCCGTCGGCACGCCGTCGCCCCCGCTACAGCCCGCCGTCGGCCCTGCTACAGCCCGCCGTCGGCCCTGCTACCGCCCGCCGTCGGCCCCACTACAGCCCGCCGCCGTCGTTCATATTTTCTCAGGTGGGGGGTACGGGGATTTTGGCGTTATGAAAGGCATGGGCAGCGACTATAAAACGCTCTAGCAACGTACTCGAAGTGAATAGGGATGAGAACCCACTTCCATTCGAGCAGGTTCTCCCCATGTACGATGTTCCCGCACGGCCATTTGCGCTTTGGCGCCGAAATGGTGGGGTAGAACATAGTCGACACGTAACACCACGTCTTGTCGTCCATGCCGTGCTGAAACTGCAACATGCTGCCACACAGGATTCCAGGGTGTGTTTGTGATAGATTAGTATCAGCCTAGGACAACCATAACGTGGGTACTACAAAGCGGGCGTATGGAAGATACTCACGCGCCAAACCATTCGATAACATTGCCCCCTACCCACTCTCTGTCTAGTAGAGTGTGGGCATGTTCCAGTGTCATGGATAACCAGCTGCTCCCAAGGGGGAATGGCATCATGTAGTTAAAAGACGGGCCATGTTCGGGCTCTTCCTGCTGCTCTTGGTGATCGGACGCCATGTTCCCACGTGTCGCGAGTAATCAGCTTAACCCTAATGCATCCAGAGGGTAGCGGGACTTGAAAAAAGCCAACAGCGCAAATGGTTGGTAAGTTTCTACATACTCCTCTTGTTGGTCGTGACGAGCCCTTGTTGGCCTAAACGGCGTCACCAATATCGTGTCCAATCTCGGGTCTAACAATGCGTGGCAGTCAACTTGCCAGCTAGGTTGTGAAAGTACACGTGTAAAATTGCTCCCATCCTCTTTCGGACCTACCAGTAAAGGTAGGTCCAAACACTTGAAAGCGATGCCACGGCTTTGGTCACGAGGCTAAGGTTCGTCCGTCCGAACCTGGATTTTGCGGTTTGGAGACCCGGTAACGGTACGGGCTACTCTCGTACGCATATAATGGACGGCTGGCCTCCAAGACAGCATCTGTCATCGGCTTGGATGTTGCGCAGCCTTGCGACTCGTCAAAGTGTTACACAGGGAGGAGTTGTCCCAACCACATAACCGATGCCGGGTCTGTCCCATCCACGGTTGACCGTAGTTAGACAGCACGATAATCTACGGCCGACTAAACAACTGGTTACGATCCCCTCCCTTCATTATCATTTGCTCGAAGTTCTGTTCAGTTCCTTGTGTCTCAAAATCAACTCGATCGCTTTCCATCATCACTCGCCAAACACCTTGCCAGGATATACTATGCATACATATGCTTAAGTATCCCCAGGGATGTCTACCCCGCACGGTCGACCGTTACGATATAAGAGGGTACCCGACCATCTTAAGGACTTTGTTATTCCGACGGCTAGAGCCAGGCCCATAGACCCTAAGTGGGCCGCGGAGGTCTTGGAGGTTAGAGCCCTCGTACTAGCATACCGGGAGAATTACCCGGCGAAGACTGGACACTTGGCGCCACATGACAGTAGACGACTGTACGCAACAGTGGCGGCCGACCGAGAAGCTCCTGTACGATACCCTTACGGTATACCGTTTCACACCGTCCGTGCAGAGCAAAGCGCGCATCGTCGTAGCCGCGTCAAGCAGACCCAGGTGGGGGAGCAGGAGGTCATAGCGCAGAACGCAGCGAAAAAAGGTGAGATTTCGCGTTGCTGACTTCGTTGCATTTGTGTTAGCGTCACAAGCCCGCCAACGGCTGACCTGCGCTGTATCGATTTAACGCGTTTGTTTGCCAGATATTGACGTGGGGGACGTGGAATGCGCAGAGGATAAAAATATTCGGACTGATCCAGCCAAGAGCGGGAACACAGAGGTTGGATGGGCGAGGAGTGAGGATCGAAATCCGGAGTCGTGGTACGAGTTCAACGCCGAGCTGTACACAGTGCCAGTGTGTTCGCCGTGCACAGATGCTGACACGGACGACGAATCTGCACCTGCTGGGAACTCTGAATCTGACGGCAGCGCGTCTGAGGGGGAAGATTGGGTCGCCGCGGATGTCGACTTGGTGACCGATTCAGACACCGAACGCCCTTCCCCCCCTCACGCTTACCCTCCAGGCACTCCAATCTGTAACGAGGCCGTGGTCGACACAAAGGCGAAAAAGTGTCGTGGAGCAAGGAAGTCGGCCAAGAAACACGCGGCCGATCCCATGGCGACGGTTAGGCGAATCATACCTCACACTGAACGGGGAAAGGCGACCCGACATAATTACGTGAATATGTGCGCGGAGGCGGGGACGCTGGAGACAGGGAGCGACGACGAGTTCATGCCAACCGTGCTCTACGGTGGGCTGCAGTCACCAGGAAACGCGGTAACGCCAGGGGGGTCGACCCTACCGAACGATGGGGCCGATGCGGAGGAGGATGATGAGCCAATCCCTGCTCATATATTGAACAAAGACTGGAGCTGGCTGGAGTTCGGCGACGATGGCAGCGAAGACGGGGCTTCGGTGGATGTGGAAGAGGTGCCGCAGAAGGTCAAGGCTAAAACGCCACCTCGAAGCAGTGACCCTGTACCTTTGGCGGCGGAGCCACCAAGGCACAAGGTGGACATCAATCACACGCCCCGGTCAAGCTTTGGGCCTGTAGTACACGCGCATGATGCCAGCGTGCATGAGCATGCTGAGTTGCCAACCCCCCCCCCCCCCTTTCCGCAATTTGCTACAAAAAATGCACCGAGTCATCGCTCGGAAAGTCGACAGGTCAAGCAGGAGTCAATCCCTCACACTCTGCCGTCCCTGCCGAGTAGTTCCATGGCCAGCGGGGCCTTCTGCTCTCCAGGAAGGGCACCTTTCACCTCTCCCCGGTCTGCCCGTGCCAGCTCTTCTCCCTCTCAGGTCCCGGCAAACCATACGCCGGCTCGCCGCGAAGAGGCAGCTCCTGCTCGGGGGTCGGGCGTGGCCGGATCTGCCGGCGGTGAAACCCCTGAGGGCGCGCGGGTGGATAGCGGGTCGAACAACGATGCAAGCCGTATTGCGACACTGGAGGCGGAGCTGCGGGCATTGATGGGGAAAGTAGCCCAGCTCAGCGGGCAAGTCGTTAAGAGGCAAGAGGAGCCGGAGGGTCAAACGGGGCAAAATGTGGAAAAACCCGCTGTGGCCGTTGTCGAGAGTCAGCCGCCCGTTCCGGCCGTCACCAAGCCAGCCGCAACACCCTCCCGGAAACCCCAGGTGGCCGCTACCGTCAGGGCAGACTGTGAAAGCCCTGACAACCCCGCGTCCAAGGGCACTTCAGGTGTGCGGAAGGATAGGCAGCGGCTTTCCGACATGAAGGATGCACCCCACTTACCGTCGAATCCGTTGATGTATGATCCGCTCCTTGAATCCCCAATCACGCAACCGGAAAGCCGTGAGGATGATGGTGACCGTCCCAGCACACTGGATGCGCGGCCCCTGAAGCGTATGCTATTCTCAAACCCCCTGGAGTCTCTTCTCCGTACCGAGCTCCCACCCAGGCAGGATGACTTGGGGAGCGGTGGGAGCCATGGAATGGGGAGGACCGATGAACCTATCCTCGACAGGCAGGGCAATACCCATGGCAGAAACATGTCCTCTCAGCATTACGAGGAGGGGCCTTGGCGTTTTGGCGGGAAGCGGGGCAGGGGCGACGAAAGCATTATCATTGTGGTTGACTACGACCCGGAAGAGCGGGTCCCCGGTCTACCGCGCTCAATGCCTAAACCCAAGCCATTCAGGGTGAGTCACCGTCTTCTGTGCATAAACCCCAATAGTGCACATATATGTGAGTTAGGAGAGTAAGGAGTGTATGGCCACTGAACGCTTGCCCGCAAATGAGCCCTTGCTGTATAGTTCCGCCAGTGGTGGTGAGGGAAGCCATTTCTCAATATAAATGCCTTCGATTGTCCCAAACTGTCCCTTGCTTCCTCGTTATGCCTCTTGCTTGCTCGTCCTGACCGTTGATTGCTCGTTCTGCCCCAACCGATGACGGGTCTGCCCCATGCTTGCTCGAGCTGGCCCTTGCGTGATCCGCCTAAACCCGTTGTTTGTCCCAATCTGGCCCCTGAATGCTTGTTCTGCCTCTTTGTTGCTAGTTCTGCATCAAGGTTGCTCGTACTGCCCCTCGCTTGCCCCCCCTGCCCCTCGCCTGCTCATTCTGGCCCTTACTTACTCGTTATGCCTCTTGCTTGCTCATCCTGACCGTCGGTTGCTCGGTCTGCCGCTTGCTTGCTAGCTCTGCCCCTTGCTTGCTAGTTTTGCCACTTGTCAACCCGTACTTCCCCTCGCTTGCGCCCCCTGCCCCTCACTTGCTCTTTCTGCCCCTTGCTTACTCGTTATGCCTCTTGCTTGCTCATCCTGACCGTTGATTGCTAGTTCTGCCGCTTGCTTGCTAGCTCTGCCCCTTGCTTGCTAGTTTTGCCACTTGTCAACCCGTTCTGCCCCTCGCTTGCCCCCCCTGCCCCTCGCTTGCTCATTCTGCCCCTTGCTTACTCGTTATGCCTCTTGCTTGCTCATCCTGACCGTTGGTTGCTCGTTCTGCCGCTTGCTTGCTAGCTCTGCCCCCTGCTTGCTAGTTTTGCCACTTGTCAACCTGTACTTTCCCTCGCTTGCCCCCCCTGCCCCTCGCTTGCTCATTCTGCCCCTTGCTTACTCGTTATGCCTCTTGCTTGCTCATCCTGACCGTCGGTTGCTCGTTCTGCCGCTTGCTTGCTAGCTCTGCCCCTTGCTTGCTAGTTTTGCCACTTGTCAACCCGTACTGCCCCTCGCTTGCTCCCCCTGCCCCTCGCTTGCTCTTTCTGCCCCTTGCTTACTCGTTATGCCTCTTGCTTGCTCATCCTGACCGTTGATTGCTCGTTCTGCCGCTTGCTTGCTCGCTCTGCCCCTTGCTTGCTAGTTTTGCCACTTGTCAACCCGTACTGCCCCTTGCTTGCCCCCCCTGCCCCTCGCTTGCTCATTCTGCCCCTTGCTTACTCGTTATGCCTCTTACTTGCTCATCCTGACCGTTGATTGCTCGTTCAGCCGCTTGCTTGCTAGCTCTGCCCCTTGCTTGCTAGTTCTGCCACTTGTCAACCTGTACTTCCCCTCGCTTGCCCCCCCTGCCCCTCGCTTGCTCATTCTGCCCCTTGCTTACTCGTTATGCCTCTTGCTTGCTCATCCTGACCGTTGGTTGCTCGTTCTGCCGCTTGCTTGTTAGCTCTGCCCCTTGCTTGCTATTTTTGCCACTTGTCAACCTGTACTTCCCCTCGCTTGCCCCCCCTGCCCCTCGCTTGCTCATTCTGCCCCGTGCTTACTCGTTATGCCTCTTGCTTGCTCATCCTGACCGTCGGTTGCTCGTTCTGCCGCTTGCTTGCTAGCTCTGCCCCTTGCTTGCTAGTTTTGCCACTTGTCAACCCGTACTGCCCCTCGCTTGCTCCCCCTGCCCCTCGCTTGCTCTTTCTGCCCCTTGCTTACTCGTTATGCCTCTTGCTTGCTCATCCTGACCGTTGATTGCTCGTTCTGCCGCTTGCTTGCTAGCTCTGCCCCTTGCTTGCTAGTTTTGCCACTTGTCAACCCGTACTTCACCTCGCTTGCTCCCCCTGCCCCTCGGTTGCTCATTCTGCCCCTTGCTTACTCGTTATGCCTCTTGCTTGCTCATCCTGACCGTCGGTTGCTCGTTCTGCCGCTTGCTTGCTAGCTCTGCCCCTTGCTTGCTAGTTCTGCCACTTGTCAGCCCGTTCTGCCCCTCGCTTGCTCGTTCTGCCCCATGCTTGCTCGAGCGGGCCCTTGCGTGATCCGCCTAAACCCGTTGTTTGTCCCAATCTGCCCCAACCCTGCTTGTTCTGCCTCTTTGTTGCTAGTTCTGCATCAAGGTTGCTCGTTCTGCCCCTTGCTTGCTAGTTATGCCCCTCGCTTGCTCGCTCTGCCCCTCGCTTGCTCATTATGCCCTTTGCTTACTTGTTATGCCTCTTGCTTGCTCGTCCTGACAGTTGATTGCGCGTTATGCCCATTGCCTGCTCGCTCTGCCCCTTGCTTGTGCGTTTTGCCACTTGTCAACCCGTTCTGCCCCTTGCTTGCTCGTTCAGCCCCTTTGCTTGCTCAAGCAGGCCCATGCGTCCTCCGCATAACCCTTGGATTGTCTCATTATGCCTCTTGATTGCTTGTTCTGCCCCTTTGTTGCTAGTTCTGCCTCGTGGTTGCTCGTACTGCCCCTTGATTGCTAGTTCTGCCCCATGCTTGCTCGAGCAGGCCGTTGCTTGCTCAAGCAGGCGAGGGGTTGATCCGCCTAAACCCTGTGGTTGTCACAATCTGCCCCTTGATTGCTCGTTCAGCCCCTTGCTCGCCTGTTATGCCTCTTGCTTGCTCGTTCTGCCCCATCCTTGCTCGAGCAGGCCCTTGCTAAGGCACTTTTTGGCTCGTGCTTGCGCGTTCTGCCCTTGTTTGCTAGTTCTGGCCCCTAAACCCCTTGGTTGCTCGATCTGCCACCTGCTCGTCTCGACCCATGTGAGTTGTGGGGTTGCCACCTTCCCTCCCTCCCTCCCTCCCTCCCGTGTTCCCTCCATCCTCTCCCTCCCTATCGATCCCACAGGCATACGCCAAGCATGCAATGGAGTTACAGCTTCGTCACACCACGGCATGGGCGGTCACCTACTTCCCAAAGAACAGCATTAGGAACGAGGCCCTTCTACTTGCTCTGCGGAGGCACTATGACATGGTGGCAATCGACATAAAGGTGGCGATGGATGACACTGCATACAGTGGGGTGGTGGGGAACGTGTGGACGAAGTTCAGGAATGAATCGTCGACGGACGCGCGTCATTACATCTACCGAGCGCTGCGGATCGATGCACGGTCGTCTGGGAAGTACAAGATGGCTCTAACTCCCAAAGCGAAGAAGTGCATTTGGGGGAAGATTGGGCAGAGTAAGACGCATGATGTATCATGGGATGCGGGAATGGGAAGGGCTGGGGGCACCCCAATTGGGGGGAGGGGGGGGGAGTGTTTCAGGTTTTGAAGACTTGTGAGGGTCTCAGCATTATAGGTAGGTGTGCAGTGGGGTGATTTGCTTACAGTAAAACCTAGTACAGTGGAGCTAAGTAATGCTGACGTGACGGCCGGTGAGGGGGGCTCTATATTCAAACCTAAACGCCACATACCCGCCTTCTGTTTTTTGTTTGCAGAGCCACACATGGGATTTAAAATTTCGGTATGGACTCACATAAAGGGCGACCGTCGGCCCTTCATCAATGAGATTTTCTACAAGGCCTGCGTGGCGGCTTACCCTGAGTGGGAGCGAGGGAAGTGCATGGTGCTCGTCCCATACCACATCGCGTGGGTGATGATGTCCGTAAGTGTCGTCAGTTGCAAATATCCTTTATGTTGAAGGGCTTACAGTAAGCATTATTTGTGTTGTGGTTGCTCTGTTTTTCCAGGTGGACTTTGGCCTCCAGAACATGCGGGACAACACAGTGCACCTGAGTGGCAGCCCATTGGAGATGGAGAGGTGCATGGAAACGGCCACTGAGCTGGTGTGGGAGGTGGTGCAGATGTGGTTGCGGCTGGCTAGGGGGCAGTGGTACGACCCCCGGGTTAGGGCGTACCGTTGGGGGGATAAGGGGCTGTACATTAACGAGAGCGGGCTTGAAGAGTTTAGGCCGGAGTGCTTTGCTGGAACCCGTGCTGCCGATAGCGGGGATGCAAGCCCGTGGATTATTCGCCGCTAGTTTAGGGTGAAACGGACCTTTTTAATATCGTTTGTCATAGCAACGTTTAATAACGCTTAGCGTCCTGATTGTGATAGTTTTTTTTATTGTATCGATATGTGTTACCCATCAAACAGTAGGTGTAGTTAATGTACCGTATGTTAATTATAAACCCGTTTTTTGGTCGCGGCGCATGCCCAGTACTCGTGGCCCCGCGCCGCTCTCTTTCGAACCCCACACGTGTGTATAAGCTCGGTGATTGGTTCCACATGTCTTTTGCATCCCTCCCCAAAGGGTCCCGAAAATGTCCAAAATGGTCCTCTGGAACACTTTCGGGATGGCGGGGATGAGTCTTGCGGAACAAATACAGGAGCCTTCCAACAGTACCGGAGTTGTTCCCGAAAGAGACTTTCGGGATGGGTGCAAAAACTATCCCGAAACTCTCTTTCGGGACAGTTTTGGGACATTTGTGGGAGCCAGGATTTTGGAGATGAAGCATGAAAGTTGCAGGAAAATTAGCTGGAGCGAGCTGCACACATTGAAAGAGGCATCAGCAGTGGAGGCTGATGGGCACGCCACATGCACGCCGATGTTGGGAAGCCTGTGAAGTTTGGTTGGGAAGTTCTGTCAGGATTTAGCGAGCTGCTGCAGCCAATCACCCGTTCAGCATTTCTTATTTTCTCAACCTAAAAAACAACTGGAGTTAGTATGTCTCCTACCACTCTCTCTTGTTGCCAGAGCATGAAGATTGACGCAGTAGTGCGGCAAGGTGATGTGGGTGGATGTTGTAATGCTGCCACTTCGCTGATATGAGACAGCATCTGGTCTTTGGGTCACCCAAGTTGGATGGTGGCTGTTGATGCAGGTCCATGTCCTACCAGTATTTTGCTGGTTACGATGAGATGGAATCTACTGTTGTTTTTAGTTTTCACTCACATCCACCCTTTTCCAACTCTGCCGTCTCCTTATACCATGTGCCTTCCCCTCACTCACTTGTTTCTTCGCTCTTATGACGCATTTGATGGTCTGTTGGGAGGACCCCTGGATGCAGCTAAGTTGGCGCTCTTCATTGCAAGGCTTATGCAGGCTGGCTCCATCTCACTGATGGCGCAGGATGCCTTTCCACAGTCTGTTGTGGTGGTTGGGCCTCTTGCTGCACGATGTCGAGTGAAGCGCATTTGCTTCTAGCATCAATGACTGCTGTAAAGCTGGTCAGTAAAATAGTGGATTTCCTTATTGTCAAGCAGGTATATAGCCCCCACTCCCCCTTCAGCTTCCTGTCGAGCATATTTTTTTTGTCATCTGCCACAGACACAAGTTTCAATTTCAAGTGTTTTGTAGGCTGTAACAGCCTGCTTTGATGTGACACTCGCGATCTCGAATCTCCATCCCCCCCTCTGGGTAATTTTCAGGTCTTGCGAAGCTGCGAAGCTTTCGATGGTGGTGACCCCAAATGTCGCCATCCCCAAATTTCTGTCACATCTCGAAACTCACGATCGCGAATTTCGCCGTAAGTTTTGTGTCGGGATTCGCGATGTTTTCTCTCGAACCGCGCAAATGAAATTTCACGACATTCGACATTGAACCTCACAACTGCACTTCCAGCATTTTCGACAGCACCAGTCGCTGTCGAAACTTTTCTCCCCACGATTTGCACACAATGCCAGGCAGGTTATCCCTTTCAATTGCTTTCCAGAATCTTAGGCGGCATCTGACCGCCTCTCTTACTATCGTCGGTTGATTTGGTTACTTCCCCCCCCCTCTCTTACTAGCGTTGCTGGTATGCCCTTCAGTCCCCTCTCATCATCTTCAGCAGCACCAGTCACTTTCTCAGTTCTAGGAGAATCAAAACACCGCTCTGGTCATTTGTAGTGGAAATAGTAACCATAATTCGTTTTCTCATTACTGCAGACGTTGACAGAAATTACATTCACTCTTTTGTCTCGCTGCAAAGGAAAACAGTGAAAGGCTAGCAATCCCCGCTAAGGGTTCTTTGCTCTCCTGCGCCTACCCACCTATCCTTTAAAAACCCGTGTTTCCAACCCCGTCGTTGAACGACTATTCGACGCCTCAAAACATTTCCAGCAACTCCCGTCCGACTCCTCCGCGTTTACTTGCACCTCAGGCCACCAACAGGGTGACTGGATTCGCCACCAACAACTGCCATTTCTTGAATTCCAGAGACACAGCGTCCCTCAGGAAGGCTTTAACAGGACATTCATCTCAGCGTTAACCTCTCCAATGCGTCCCGTACAGTGGACTTGCGAAAGAGGGATCGGGGGGCATGCAGACGCGAAGGCGGGAGGATCCGTCGAGGGTGCAGGTTCGCAGTGTGCATGGCCTCCTCCTCTTCCTCCTCTTGCACGTATCAGGACACGCCTGCAGCAAGCCGAAGACTCGCAAGCCCCGAGCAGCGCATCATCCGACCTTGAAGATTCAAGCAGCGCATCATCCGACCTTGAAGATTCAAGCAGCGCCCCAGCAGGCTCTAAAGAGCCCCACCTCGTGTCTCCTATCAGCAGGCTCTTCCCAGAGTGCTCCAATCTCCACACGTCTCACAGGAGTGCAGAAGAGTCAGAAGTTTCAAGCAGCGCTCCAGCCGTCTCTGAAGATTCACGTGGCCCCAGCAGTGCCCCATCAGACCCAGACGAGCGAGAAGACCTCCAGCCCGTGTCTCCAATCAGCCGCCTCTTCTTGGACCCAGCTCTGAGCACGGTCATCCTGATGGCCATGGAGTTTGAGGGGAGGAGCATGGGAGTGACGGAGATCACTGGCTTGGTTCGAACCCTGCTGTCCTCCCAGCCCCGCTTCACCAGCCGCATCGTGAGTGCTCATGGCTGAGTCGTGTCGAGTCTCTCTTGGTGCGTTGCTTGCTGCCTCTCTTCCTGGACCCTGCTCTGAGCACGGTCATCCTGATGGCCATGGAGTTTGTGAAAGAAGGAGTGTTTTGAGACGTCTCAAAACACCCTGCTCTGAGCACGGTCACTCTGATGGCCATGGAGTTTGAGGAGGGCAGCAGCATGGGAGGCGTCATGCCATGCTTTGATTGCTGTGCTTCTCTCTCTTCCTCCACCCTGCTCTGAGCACGGTCACTCTGATGGCCATGGAGTTTGAGGAGGGCAGCCGCATGGGAGGCGTCATGCCATGCTTTGATTGCTGTGCTTCTCTCTCTTCCTCCACCCTGCTCTGAGCACGGTCACTCTGATGGCCATGGAGTTTGAGGAGGGCAGCCGCATGGGAGGCGTCATGCCATGCTTTGATTGCTGTGCTTCTCTCTCTTCCTCCACCCTGCTCTGAGCACGGTCACTCTGATGGCCATGGAGTTTGAGGAGGGCAGCAGCATGGGAGGCGTCATGCCATGCTTTGATTGCTGTGCACGGTCACTCGAATTTTGAGACGTCTCAAAACACCCTGCTCTGAGCACGGTCACTCTGATGGCCATGGAGTTTGAGGAGGGCAGCAGCAGCACGATGATGGGTGTGCAGGAGCTGAGCTGACTGCCCTGGCGCGCACCCTGCTGTCTTCCCAGCCCCGCTTCACCAGCCGCATCGCGAGTCCTTGAAGACTTCGGGTCTCTCTGTCCCATCTTTCGTTCCGCTAACATCTACCCTCTGTGTTCTTTCCTTTGCCGCCATCTACCCTCCATCTGCATATACTCACCACCAGGAGCACTGGGGTGTTTTTGAGAATTCTCAAAAAACATACACCTGGTCGCTATCTACCCTCCATCTGCATATACTCACCACCAGGAGCACTGGGGCTGGTGCCGTATGCTCGTGTGGATTCCTACCATGGGCCTAACTTGCCTTATCCGTTCGCCTTCTCCATTCGGCCTCTTCCCCATGTGCATATTTCAGGAGCACCGGGGCTGCTGGAATGTACTCACGTGGGTGTCTATACACGTGCACTGGCCTTCCCACGTGGTGCAGGGCAGGAGCCTGCTTGCCTATCTAACTTGTCTTCTCTCCCTTGTCGACATCTACCCTTCACCTGCATGTTCCCACCACCAGCAGCACCGGGGCTGTTGCATGTACCCACGCGTGGGCTGTTGCATGGTGCCCACGCGGGTGCCCACCCACCGTTGTCGCATAAGACTACCTCGCCTCATCCTATCTTTCCTCTTCCTGAAGTGAGGGTGTTTTTGAGACGTCTCAAAAACACCCTCACTTCACGGGGCTGTTGCATGGTGCCCACGCGGGTGCCCACCCACCGTTGTCGCATAAGACTACCTCGCCTCATCCTATCTTTCCTCTTCCTGAAGTGAGGGTGTTTTTGAGACGTCTCAAAAACACCCTCACTTCACGGGGCTGTTGCATGTACCCACGCGGGTGCTCACCCACCATTGTCGCATAAGACTACCTCGCCTCGCCTCATCCTATCTTTCCCCTTCCTGTGGCGTCATATCAGGGGCACCTGGGCTGTTGCATGTACCCACATGGGTGAACACGCACCACTGTCCCATGGGCCTATCTTGCCTCATCCTATCTTTTCCTCTTCCTGTTTTTCCATCCGTCCTCTACCCGTGTCATATCAGGAGCACCGGGGCTGGTGGCGAGAACCCATGTGGGTGCCCACCCACGTGGACTGGCCCTCCCACGTGGTGCAGGAGCCTTCCCTCTGCTCCTCCTGCAGCAGCACAGACGAATCTCAGACGTCCATCTTGCATGATCGGCGCTCACCAGAGGATCCTCGTTATAGTGTGCCTCACTGCAGTGTGGAGAGCCATGTGGTGCGGCTGCAGACCCTTCCGCTGTTCGATTTCAGCCGGCCGTTGTGGCAAGTGCACCTGCTGCCCACCTGCGAGCACATCCCTCGCTCCACTGCTGTCTTCCGGTGAGTTTGGAGTCAACTCAAAGGTCAACCTGAATTCAACCAGCCGTTGTGGCAAGTGCACCTGCTGCCGACGTGTGCCCACACTCCACGCCCCACCGCTGTCTTCCGGTAAGAGAACCCTCCCTACTGTCTCACACATATACAGTCACACACAGTGCACCTTCTGCCCATCTGCACCCACCTCCCTC